CAAGTACGATGGTCAGAGAAGATGTTTTTAGAACGCATCTAAACCCGCCCCCGGCGTAAGCATGACGTGGTAAAAGAACGGTTCTAGTCCAGCAAAGAGTTGGTGATGCTTTGGAACCAGTTTAGCTGGCCGAGAACCGGTTCTTTGGCTGTCGAAACACAAAGAACTGGTTCGCGTGCAGGCACCGGCTCCGAACCGGCTCTCAAAATGCTTTGGTGGAAAAGGGGTACTAGAGGATCAAGCGGTCAGAGTCCCTCAGAGTCCCATATAGTCCCTCAGTCGAGACTGAAATGCAGAGCTTTCTCTGTGGTGGCAATCTTTAGAGATTAGCACCTTCGGCACCTTCTCTATTTACTTTTTAAAAATTATATTTTCTCCATTGGTTTTTAGCAGGTGTGTTTTTGTGTCATTATAGTTTGTTTATTATTATTGTGGAATCCTGTTCAGTACTCTGTACTCTCTGTTCACCCAAAAATATAAATGATCCCATAATTTACACCCCCCCTCAAGCCATCCTAGGTGTACTGTTTTCTTTCAGCCAAACTGGATTGGAGTTGTATTAAAAATATCCGGACTCTTCCAAGCTTAATAATGGGAGTGAACGGTTTTTTGTTTTCATTTTTTGAAACCCTAAAAAGCACATCCATCCATTTACTGTGGCTTTTTCCACTGCACTTTGGTCAGTCTTGTGGCTGATTTTAAAATTTTGTGTATTAAATATATTAACTTCAACTTGATTTAAATAGATATGCGTTTTATTAAGTTCTATTATTTTTTTTTTTCAACTTGAGTTTTTGATCCAAACCAGATGTGGTTGAGCTTCAGCTGAGGTTATCGGGTGGAAAACAACCACTGTTGGCTGAATTCGCCTTTTCTTGCAGATCTCAAATCTCTGTTAAAAACACTACCATGAAAAGGTTGGACACACTTGACTGAATTTGTTTTTATGATCTTCAAAGCATGTAATTTATTAGTGTTTTATTCAGTTGTTTGAGATCATTTTTAAATGTTTTTGGTTTCTACATAATTCCCATGCTAAATTTGTGATATTTACTATTATTCTGATATAGTCATGTTAAAAAAACTACAAGTTAGCCCAAACTATTGACTTGTCTATCTGCACACAACTGACTAGAAACAAGGACGTGGAAAAAAGAAGACTTTTGAAGGAATGTATTGGGATCTGGTGCCGAATGCCTTCAGATTGTTCACGGTGTCCTCAGTAAACCCTTCGAGTGAATACAGAACATGGAGACGGAGAAAAGCTGCTGTGCAACAATGACTGCAAACTTTATGAAACCGTCTTTCCAGTGCTCAAGTTTTCAGGCCGAACGCCAAGTTTCAAAGGAAAGAGAGGGAAAATAAAGAATCGGTTGTATAGAGAAGCAATGGGAGAGCGAACTACACTGAGAGATGAGCATTAAAAGAATACAAGCACAAAGAGACGAGTCTTCGGATGGTCCGCCGTGTATTGCAGGCAGCATGAGAAACTCTGTTGCATGTTAGGACCTGCTGAGGAAAACAGTCATGATGTCAGACCTCATGTGATTGGCCTGAAACGCTTGTACACGAGAGGATAGAAGGACGAATGAAAGATTTTGGATGTTCCCTTTTGAGTGATGTCTTCAATATGAAAAGAATTCCTCAGCGACCACAGTAAATGTTGGGAGGTCCAGATGATCAGAACTCCAGTTACTGGATCAGATGTAATTCATGAGGAGTGTTGAAGCTCAGGGACACGTAATTGCCTGTAGGAAGTTACGGTTAGTTGGTCTGTTGGTACTTGTAGTTTAGCTATGCAAAAGAGACTTTGTTGTGATGCCGAAGACTTCTATGACCTTCCTTTATTGTCTAGTTTTGTTCAAATTGTTAAAAGCACAACTCGAATATATTTACTTGATCTGGAGATGTTTTCACTGGCCTTATTCTTATATGTTTTATTTATTTATTATTAATGTATTAACGTTTATATAGGCTTTTTAAGACAAATAATTGTATTTTTATTTGTTTGTTTGTTGTCCATTTTCGCTTATTTTTTTCTTTATTATGTTTTAATTATTTCAAAAAAATTAAATAGCTTCTACATGGACTTTTTATTTGCAATTATGTATGTAAATTATATAGATATTAGGGCTTTCAAACGATTAATCGCGATTAATCGCATCCAAAATAAAAGTTTGTGTTTAAATAATATATGTGGGTGCACTGTGTATAACTATTTTATATATATAAATACACACACATGCTTGTATATATTTAAGAAATATTTTCATGTATATACACTGTATATATATTTATATATAATTTATATTATATATAAATATTTTCTATATACATAATATTATTTTCTTCAATATACATGCATGTGTGTTTGTGTATTATATATATATATATATATACAAAATAATTATACATAGTGCACCCACATATATTATGTAAACACAAACTTTTATTTTGGATGTGATTAATCGTGATTAATCATTTGACAGCCCTAATAAATATCATATGTAACTGTTGACAAGCATATTGAGATTCCAATTAAATTATTCCAATTGATGGGAAACATTTCAATTAAATAATTGCATCAATGATTATATTGATAAATTTAAACACTTAATATGATGTAGTTTAATATTGATGCATTTAAACACTTAAATAATGTTGCGGCAAAGAGGTGACAAATGCATTTACAAGGGAATAATAAACCAGGCAAACTGAGGATACGTTTACACGACAACGTTGTACTTAAAATGGTAACACTTTTTCTGTTTACAGATAACAACTTTATGAACATGATCCCCATTCTCGCCGTTCTGCGAAAAACGACTAAAACGATGTACTCTGCTGCCAGGCCAGTAGTTGGCGTTGTCACTTTGTAAAGAAAGACTGCGCACACACATACGCCTTCTTTTATAGAGAGATGATAATGGTATCGGTTTCAATTTTTTGTTGAAAATGGTGTCGGGTATACAACCCCTGAATTGACATTAGCATGAATGCTGCATGATTAGACAAGTAATGGGTTGTTCAGTCAGGGCCCTGAAAAACATCCATTTCGCGATCTAAAAAAATTGATAAAGAGTTTTAGATAAGTCTATAGAATTTTGAAGACATTTGAGTAAATTTTGACTGTGAACTTAGTGACGCATCTAGCTCAGAGATCACTGATAAAGTCCATTCTAAAGAATAGAATCTCCTGAGAAATGAAATAGTAGGTGAATCAATGCGGCGCCAACAATGACGAGCCCTTCCATGTCATTCTAGAGAGGGCTGAAGGGGAAGGAAGGGGTTGAACGCGCTCTTTTGTCCCCACAGGCTCTTTTTTCAGAGGCTAGTTTTACTTTCTTTCTGGGAAAACATAATTAGGGTCCGGCTCGGATGGCTAGAGTTACCGCTCTTAGTCTTCTGGCCTGGCAGGCAATGAAAAGGCTGTATGAGTTTGAGTTACAGACATAGTTTTGATGGCCATGATTCCAGTAAGAGTCCTCAAGCTTAGATAATGGGTTTCATAATAGAGGCTATACTGTTGATATAGTACGGATTCGGAATCAGTGAAACTGTTTTTTTTTTACATTTCTGATTTGACATTTCAAATGTTAAATCTACAAAGCCTGGTGGTTACATGTACAGAAAAAAGGAGCCAATGTGACTAAGACATTGTTCAGCTACCGAAATAATGCAAAAAGACTGCCATCTTTGTTTTAGTTTAGTATCAACTTGGTATCAAAATACTTACATGACATCATGACTTTTGCGTAAACATACACGCCACTTTCAAGTCAAGTGGCGTGTTATCTATACGCATTTTGAGCTATCCGCGTGTATGCATGTCTACGCCGTTAAATGTCCGAGTGATTCCGCATGTTTGTACACGCCGTTAAATGTCTGAGCGAAATGAAGCAAAATGTCAGTGTTGTAGTCGAGACCACCTCACTCGAGTCCGAGTCGACACCGAGACCAGAGAGAGTCGAGTCCGAGTCAAGACCGAGTCCATAGAGAGTCGAGTCCGAGACCAGAGACGGTCGAGTCCGAGGCGAGACCGAGACCAGTGAGGGTTGATTACCTAATTTACTTTTATTTACTTAGAGAATGGTTTTTTTTTTTAACTGAATTTACTTAGAGTTTAAAAAATATGATCAGTTTAGGGTAAAAAGGCCACATAGTAGGTGGTGTTAAAAGTAATTTTATTACAATTTGTCATGCGCAGTTGCGCACTAGAAAATCACCAATCACTGGGCGTGTCGATCAATTTAAAGAAATAATTTATTAACATACATTAATAATCATGAAAAATATTTTTAATTGAACTCGAGTGAACTCGGGAATAATTCCGAGTCCTAAAAAAAAAACATGTTCGAGTACGAGTCAATTCCGAGTCCAAATGAACACGAGTCCATGACAAGACCAAGACCATTAAAATATGGACCCGAGTCCGAGACGAGTCCGAGTCTCGAGTACTACAACACTGCAAAATGTAGATTGGTAGGGGAAGACTCGTAAATGGTTTAGGGACGGGGTTGGGGTAGGTCATATATTTATATATACAGTAATGTAACGTTAATTCAACGGCGTTCATAAACACACTGAAAAGCAATTATGCGTGTTGATAACACGCCAAAAATGGAAATACGAATTGGCGTGTCATACATACGCCTTTTCATGAGATCAGTCTGAAAATACTAAAGTTGAATATCTAAGAAATTTTCACATATCACACTGTCTCAAATCTCCTGAAACAGCCTGAACCCCAATGCATATTTATAGGTTGTTTTGTACCAAAACATATGACAAGCCAGTATGACAATCCTTTGTGCATTATACACAGACACTCTGTCTTTGTAGGCTTTCATCTTCCTGAATTCTTTCTTTTGGACTTTTTCCAAACAATAAGGTCACCTGCATTCCTTAAGATTTGATGCCCCAAGAAAAATGTCTGTCATTAAAGTAGCATCACAGTGCATAACAAGCAGTTCAACCCAAATTATTTCCTTTTCCTCCAGACCCAAACCACCACCACCCGATGGTATCAAATCCAACCCCTCCAAAAGGCACAGAGACCGGCTGAACGGCGAATTGGACAAGCTGACCAACCTTCTACCCTTCTCAGAAGACATCCGTGCACGGCTGGACAAACTGTCAGTGCTTCGACTCAGTGTTGGATACCTGAAAGTTAAGAGCTTCTTCAATGGTGAGATCATGACTTAGTCTTATTTTAGGCAGTCCTAAATCCTGATATGTGTTTGTTAAGAACCAACTGACTTAAAGGGATACTCCACTTTTTTTGGAAATAGGCTCATTTTACCACTCCCCCAGAGTTAAACAGTTGGGTTTTACCGTTTTCGAATCTATTTAGACGATTTTTGGATATGAAGAGTTCAGATGCAAAAGCCTCTAAGTGCCATTTGAAATTTTCTTCTAGAATGATAATTTTTATCAAGCTTGTATATTTAAGTTCAGTGATTTCACTTAAATGGCAATGATAATTACCTATTAATTGTTATTTAAGTGAAATTACTGAACTTAAATATACAAGTTTGATAAAAATCATCATTAAAGAAGAAAATTTCAAATGGCATTTAGAGGCTTTTGCATCTGAACTCTTCATATTTAGAAGAATATCAGCAACCAGACAGTTTCTGGTCTCATTGACTTCCATAGTAGGAAATACTATACCAGAAACTGTCTGGTTACTGATATTCTTCTAAATATCTGAAAATCGGCTGAATGGATTCGAAAACGGTAAAACTCAAAAAACTCATTTCCAAAAAAAAAAAATTGGAGTATCCCTTTAAAGTATAGTAATGAGAGGACAGGAAATGATGTGGAGAAGGGGCAAAAGGATCAGAAGATGCCACAAGCAGGACTGAAACTTGTGCTGTTGCATGCTTCACTGCTTTAGTGAGTCAGAATATGTGTGCTAAATGTTAAGCTTCCACTCAGATCACTGATTAGTCATTGCTTTCCAATGAATTTTAATTCAGTTAATTCAAGTTCTCTGTCACAATCATTGAGGTGTTGTTTTCTACTAGGTTAAAGGCAAATGAAGCCAGAGGAAGTGGCGTTTGTTGCACTTCCACATCTCAACCCCTTACATGATTCATGTTTTTCAGACCAAATGTGTGAAAATGCTTCTCAGAATTAGGCTTAGTCTTAGTCTTAGTGGTATTCTACCTTTTATTTATTTATGTAGCATCTTGAGTAAAATTCAAATGAATTTCTTTGCTTACACAGTTTACCAGAAGGTCCATGTCACATGGATGATGTGCTAGAAACTTGTGACTTCAGCTGACATGTTTGTTATCTCTGAGAAAACTTACAAGGCAGCTGAAAGATCACATGCTGGTCATGTTTGGGGTCCTTAACTTTCTTGACATCCTAAATTAGGGTGTTTTTTTTCTTTCATTTTAGTTTTTTCTGGCTTTTAGAATAATATGCATAGACTTTTGTGAGTTTCTGAGGGCTTCAGATCTTCAGCCAGTAAATGCTTGTTTGTTTGTATATCTTTAGAAAAGGCTCACAAAAACATCTCAGAATGACCTTGACGTAGGGTCTTCTCATGGAATTAATCAAGTTTCTAAGAATAATATACAGGGGAAACCTCTCAACGGAAGGATAAATCAGAAGTTCCCACAACAAGACCATCCATAATGTCTGTCTTAACAGAGATTAGAGTTTATTTTCCATAGAAATTCATATTTAGAATTGTTGAGTTAGTCATTAAATGATTCTTTTTGGTTGTGAAGTGTGTTGAAGGTAGAAAGTGTCAAAACGTATTCACTTTATAGCCCTTAATCCTGTAATTGTGGACAAATGTGGGCACAGAGGATTCAGGTGTAGTCCTAATTTTTATTTATTATAAATGTTATATCACTGTCTTCGATAAAATTTTGTCTATCCATTTGTGGTGTTTTTGTTTATTTTGAAGGTATTTTTTAATTTATTTACTTCAAAAAGTACCATATTTTTCTATGTAAATGATGCTTATTTTATGTTTTATTTGTTTTATTTTTTTAACTACATTAAAATATCATTCCAATAAGTTCTTAGAGCTAAAACCTAAAGATGAAGTGACTTCTTATTTTAGAATGCTCTAAATTAGTTTTCCCATTCATTTCTATGGGTGCCCATTTTTGACCCAAATACAAGATTAAGGAGTGGGTTTTTTTCCACACACTTACTGTAACATTGTGGAATTGAGTCCAAAAAAATTGTGTTAGGAAAAGCAGCCAAGTCTTGTACCGCTCAGATCAAGGGAAGTATTTTTTAGAAATAAATCAAAACTATTTTGCCCAGAATACGGTTTTAGGGTTAATGAGTCTTATTTTATTTATTTTTGCTTTGTTTTGCTCGTCAAAAAGTTCTAAATATCCTTAAAACGAGAGAATTTTTTTATCAACGATTCTTAGACATTTGAAATGAAAAATGAGACGGAAATACTAGTTGATAATAGGACATTTTGCAGTGGACAAAGCTGTTTTGCAACTGTCTGGCGAGATGTAGGTGGTAGGACGTCATAATTTATTCTAATCATTTATTTATTTTTAGCAATTGTGGCATTTGAATTTGACTGGCTTGAATTTCCACTTGTCATAAATAGGTATTGCATTGTCTTCAGTGAACAGGTACACAGGACTTTGTTGTGTTGCTGTCCTCTTTTATCATTTCTAGATGATTATAAGACATACTCTCATGTTTTTAACACACAATCTGGATGTAGTATTAGATGTTGCTAACGTAACACCTGATGGTGGCTGTATTTTTATTTTTATTTTTTTTGTGAAAATTACAGAAAGCATGCACATTGTTTAAGAAGACTTGTCTCAGGCCAGAGTTCTTTATCTTAGACTATGTTATCTTGTTTTTTTGAGCATGATAGTGGCAGCAAGCATGTGTCTTTTCTTGAACTCTTTGCTGAGTAAGCGTGGCAGCTATGAGGTGCATGCAGAGAATTCCATTGTGAAAAGACAAAGGGCCTTATGGGAAATTTTTTGGGAGTCATCTTGGCACCATCAGAGGACAAGGAAGACAAACAGGCAAGGTTGAAGTGCTGAATCAGACAACATGGAGTTCCTGGCAACATCCTGGACTCCCTACCTTGTTCTGGGAACTTGCCCAGTCTGCATGGGGATTTGAGGCGCTCATTAATAACCCAGTTTAGAGAAGGCTGTTTTTGCAGGACAGAAGGTCTTACCTAGTGTCATCTCAAAGGTCTCTGACCTGTCATAATTTCACTGCCAGACTCGAACTTCCTTTTCCTTTGAAGAACTGACCATGCATTGTGTGGAAATTCATCAAATCTTTGCATCCTTCTCCACCGCCCTTTTACATTTTTCATTTGAAATCAGCTCTCCAAACAAACGGACCACCAAAGGCTTGACAGAGCCCCAAATGTGCCAGCCTGGTGCCCCCAGCTAAGCTTCCTTTTATTGTTGTACTAAAATAGCAGCAATTAGAAACAGGCAATTCGGGGAGGGCAGGGGGTAGTAAAGCGAGTGAGAATGAGACAGCGCAGGAAAAGAGAGCCGAGCATGAAGCAGACGGTCCACAAGAAGAGAGGTTATTTTTGACCTGCCCACGAGATTCACAGCTGCGCAGAGCACTTGTCGCTCTTAAGAGATCAAATAAAACGTGCCTCTATGCATTTGCTGGTGTGCAATGTCCCTAGTAACCACAAGTGTGAAGCAGAGAAATGAGGCCGACATGAGGCCCAACAAGTAGATGGTGTCTGATGTTTTTGCAGTATATGTAGCAAAAATAAACTGTGACAGACAGGAAACACAAGGTATTGTGGTAAAACTGTGTCATTTCACTGGGTTCTTTGAGGAAAGCAAGCAAAATAGACAAGCGACAAATTGGGAGCTTGTGGTAGACGTAGCCAAACAGAGGTGCTAGACAAGTGCCCTATTTCCTTCATTGCCCCCATCCTATCTGTCTTTCCGGCATTGCTTTGTTGTTTTTAACTTCTTATCTGCGTCTTGAGGTCCATTTTTCTCTGCCTCTCGGTCAAAAGAACTTACTTTTGGGTACTAGGGACTGGGTCATTTTCTTGACTATCCATTATTAAATTACTGTAATATCAGGAAATAACGTCTTGGGAACTCTCGAGTATTTGTGTGCAGTACAATGGAGCTTGAAGTGGCCCAGTCCAAGCTATTTTCAATCCCTCTCCAACAGTATTAATTGGATCAAGGCTACGAGTACAGTAAGTCTTTTATCAGCCTATCTATTTTCATCACTTGCTGTGAAATGCAAAGAGGCGTGCCCAGGGCTACGGATTCCTCCACGTCTGGTTTCTAGCAGGTCAGACACCGCCTTTGCAGAGAATGGATCCTCTGTTGACGTCCTCCCATCATCTGAAACCGTAGAGACAGGGGGAGATGGAGGGATCCTGAAGGTTGCACTGAGAAAAACCACAAGATTCGATCCCACGGTGAGATGCACAAACGGGACATTGTATGAACTGCGTTCCCAGCATGCACTGGGGCCAGGGCACCGTTGTGTATTGATGAGGGTCAGGTCTGGAGGAGTCGCCACATAGAATGGTCCTTGTCTGAAGTGTAATGTGGTGTGTCATTGGTCTAGCTAAGATTTGACCTTAGGGATGAATCGGTTGGCTTCAAAACTACTTTTGCGGCGCCCAGAGTTCGATGGAAAGAGAGAGAGACAGAAAGAGTCCTGGAAATAAAGGTTCATTGTTCCTCATTTGCTCCTTGCACTTCATCTTTGGCCTTTCAATCTTTAAACAAGTTTTTATGCCTCTACGCTAAAGTTCAGTTCTTGGTACCAATTTCTGTACCAGAGCAAAAACTGTGGTTATCACTGTCAATCATCGCAGTTTCCGATTCAATCATGCATTTAAATGCGGTTGTTAATCCAGAAACAATCCAGAAAAACTAAACTGGTTTTCAGATTGTGAAAGGGTCATAAACAAAGCATGATGTTTCAGGCATCAACAAAGATATTTCTGCACTCTTGCAAAAACTCCCGTTATAATAAAAAAGTGGTCCTAATTATACAATGAATCTCTTATTCATTGTATCGTGACATCGTGTTTACGCTTTGTTGGTTAAAATGAAAGGATTCGCTAGCGTAGGGCGTGCGTTGGACGGAACAAAAACTTTCTAACAATGTAACTTCAGAGTGGCTAGCGCAATTAGCGCAGCTCACATTTCAATAGATTTGATGTCC